CGCGATCGCCGCATAAAGGGCGGGTCGGGCGTATGCACAGAAAGGTGCAAAACCGCCTTAACGCTTCCCTTTATGAGGCGATCCACTGACCGAAGGCTTGCACCAGTTACCCTCGGCGTTTGGAGGCCGTAGAAGAGCTTGGGGATTATTAATTTTGATTATTATGAGCTTCTGATCGGGCTTTAACGGGGACCTTTTCAGGTTAGACAGCCACGATGGTAGGTTGGTGAGTGAGGGCCTCAATATCCCACCGACAGACGCATCGTGGCCCAGGTAGCGAAAGCTGTTAACTTCCGTCACCATGGCCACACGGCGCCCGTCGATCTTTAGCCCATATTCTTTCCTTGGGACTAGCGACCCTTTCACCGATCCTACCACCATGGCCGAGCACTTCCCGGGGTTCAGAACCATGCCCCTGGCTCCCGCGAACTCCACCACTTCGCTGAGCGTCAGAGGAAGATTAACTTCCTCGTCCTCCAGCAAAATGATGTCGTCAGCGAACGCCATAGCGCTGACCTTCACTCCAGGAAGGATCGTGCCTCCCCTGTTCCCGTCGTTAAGCCGGCTCAGCAGCTCATCAATTACCATGTTGAATAGCAGTGGGCTAAGTGGATCCCCTTGCTTGACCCCGCGCCTAATCTGAATGCTCCCCGTCTGCTCGCCACCCACTTTGATGGCGGTCTCCGAGGTGGTCAAGGTCGACAATATGTATCTGATGGAGCCCTCGTCTATTCCGAATCTCCGTAACGCCCCCAACAACACTCCCATGTCCAACAGTGTCGAAGGCTTTACGGACGTCGAGTGAGACGACGCAGTACCCTTTTCCGGCGCCCACCCTGTTCCTAATGTAGGCCTGAAGGACCATACAATTGGCGAGAGTGCCATCCACCGCAGTGAAGCCGCGTTGGTTGGTGCTCAGGGCGATGACTTCCCGTATGCGGTTAGCCATCGCCCTGTGCATCAGCCTCTGAAGGGCACTCCCGATAGTGAGTGGGCGCCAGTTGGCCGGGTCACCCGTTGACCATTTTTATAAATAATAGTAGTGCGCGAACGGCGGAAGCAAACAGGGTGCACATTCCGTATCAAAATAATAGAGAATAGTACGGACAGCACCCTGTTGTTGGCCCGTTTCACGGAGGACACTGTAATTCCGTCGGCGCCAGGCGCCGAGTTGCCCCAAGACGTTTTGGCATTTCAATCTCGTCCTGCCTGAAGGGCAGGAACGTTTTCGTGTCCTCCGTCAGCGGTTTGTTATGAACGTCTGTCACCTCTCGCGCAGCGACTCCAAGATGCCGCGATACAACCGTTCGACCTCGTCAATAGGGGGAGTAACTTCCTTCTCGTCTAGCGGAGTTCCAGAAATAATTTTCTCCGCTAGAGAGCTACGGTTTTGTTGAAGAGGTCCTGGGCTTTTTTGAAACCTTCTGCCCTAGGACCCGCCTGTTGTTATTTGGGCGTAGTTTCTCTGAGGGGGTTTGTTCCCCTTCTTCTCCCCTTCTTACCACCCCGCTGTTCTGGAAAGTGCTTTTTAATCCAGTCATCGATATAGGGGCCCAGCTGCACGTTGGCTAGCTCGAGACCCGCATTGCACAGCTCCACAACATGACCCAGGCCGTCAGCTGCCGCAGCCTCCCGCTCAGTGACGAGATAGCTGCGCAGCTGGTGGTTAACAGTAACCTGGGTCTTGGGCTGTGCATGGGGGGGAGTGAGGTCGTGATCGCATCGCGCCCTTCTAGGCGTCGGCTGCATGAGAGGCGACATCGACTCATTACGTTGTCGCTTCGTACCGCCGTTCTGCAAAATTGGTGTAACAACAATATGTGCTCTAGGTGTCTTACCGTCTCCGTCGTCTTCGCTGTCCTCTTTGTTGGTAATATCCTGCGGAGATTGCTCCGCAGTTGTCTCAGTGTGGACTGATTCACCCTCGATGTTAGGAGTTTCCACATGGGCACTGGCGCGCGCTGCACCAGCCGAGGGCACAGGCCGAGGGAAAGGGAGATTGTTTGTTTGGATCTCTTTGGCGGCACAGAGGTACTCCTTGTAAACGGGTTTGTTTCTTCTGTGCCGCACTTGGTCGCGAGTAAGGCCGGTATCTGAAACCATCCTGTCTATAAAGGGTTGCCCCTTTATAGTGGCAGCTTCTATTCTCGCCATTATCTGCATCAGTTCAGATTCCGGCCTTTCAGCCTCTCCCTCTTCTCGTCATTTACTGCAGCGGCGTGTGCCCTGTGCTCATGCAGTCGCACGCCAGTAAAAGATGAAAACTCCGACCCGCAGTACTGGCATTTGGTCCGCTCTACGGTGCCACACGCGGGTCTGTGTCTTGTAAGTCCATTTCTTGGTGTAGAACGCCTTCCCGCAGTCCTCACAATTGTATCTTGTCTGTTTGGCAGGCCCCAGGTTGGCCGCATCACTGGCTCCTGTTTTTGGGGATAGGTTACTTGGGCCTGCCTTACTGGTTCCAGCAGCTAGAGGGCCGCTGGCAGTCTTGTTGCCACCCGCTGGCGGACTTCTAGGTTTTCCGCCCCTACCTTCGGTAGGGCCATCGCGGTGGCTAAACGCGGTGCCTTCGCACCACGTGTGTGGCTCTCTCTCCTCTCGAAGTGGCGGGGTTGCTCCTCTTCTTTGCCGGGTCGGCCATTGCGCATGCGCAGGATGACCGTAACCAGCAAGATTAAGAGTATTCTCCTTTCTGCGTACGGGAGTGAAAACCGTTTGCCGCTACGTAGTCTGGTTCCGGAGATATCACGTATTAAAGATTTTATCTCCGGAACTACCTCCTCCCAGCTCCTGTTCTCCTAATACCTGGCCGCACTTAATACGGCCAGTACGGCGTTATCTGTCGACGTATGGAGCTGAGATTTGGTGTGTGTCCTTGGGGCCGGTAGATGATTTGTTGGACGCCTTTTTGGCCCCGTCGGACACGATGTACCTGCCAAAAGGGCAGTAGCGGCTAGACGCCGGAAACCGGCGTTGCGGGGGGCAGTCGAGCTGGTGTGATATTCTACTAGATGCGCGATGCCCCAAAGACAATATGGGGCCCGCTGTTCGTCGTGCGATTCTAACCTTTATTGCAAGGTTTCTAGGTTAGAATCGCGTTGTTTAAAAGTATTGCTTATAAACACCAGCCCTTGGTACTCACCCCGCTGTCTCCACTCCCACGCACTAACCCCGCCACCGCACGTGTGTTGCCCGTTTTGTGGGCGCCGCGACGCGGTAGTGCCTCTTGAGTCGTATTTAAAATCGCGTTATGTCGCACACACGTGCACACTCCTCAGCGGCGGAGAAGAGAGTCATAGTTACTCCCGCCGTTTACCGCGCTTGCTTGAATTTCTTCACGTTGACATTCAGAGCACTGGGCAGAAATCACATTGAGTCAACACCCGCAGGGGCCATCTCAATGCTTTGTTTTAATTAGACAGTCGGATTCCCCCGGTCCGTGCCAGTTCTGAGCTGACCGTTGAATGGCGGCCGAAGAGGACACCAGAACGCCCTTGCGAGCGCACTCTGGGCCTCGCAGCAAGACGGTTCCGCGGGAGGCCAAGGCACGGTACCGAGTTCGGATCCGCAATCCTACCGCACACGCGCGAACGCATACGACAGAACGTTTCACCTCGCCCAGGCCCGGCACGTCAGCCGCGACCCGCTTCCTCGCCAAGCCCGACACGCCCCGATCCTCAGAGCCAATCCTTATCCCGAAGTTACGGATCCAATTTGCCGACTTCCCTTACCTACATTATTCTATCGACTAGAGGCTCTTCACCTTGGAGACCTGCTGCGGATATGGGTACGAACCGGCGCGACACCTCCACGTGGCCCTCTCCCGAATTTTCAAGGTCCGAGGGGAAGACCAGGACACCGCTGCAACTGCGGTGCTCTTCGCATTCCAAACCATATCTCCCTGCTAGAGGATTCCATGGAACTCGAATGCTTATGCAGAAAAGAAAACTCTTCCCTGGTCTCCCGACGGCGTCTTCGGGTCTTTTTGGGTTACCCCGACGAACTCTCTTGCGAGGGCCCGACTATTGTACGGTTCCGCTGCCGGGTTTCGGAATAGGAACCGAATTCCCTTTCGCCCGACGGGCGTGTTCTTTATATATACACACATACATACATATATTTATAAAACAACGCCACATCAACATCGGCTTTCGCCTAGGGCTTAGGATCGACTGACTCGTGTGCAACGGCTGTTCACACGAAACCCTTCTCCACGTCAGTCCTCCAGGGCCTCGCTGGAGTATTTGCTACTACCACCAAGATCTGCACCGACGGCGGCTCCAGACGGCCTCACGGCCAGCCCTTCTGCGCGCACCGCCGCGACCCTCCTACTCGTCAGAGCTTCATGGCCGATCCGTTTTTACGCGGATCGAGACCGCACATGCCGCTGACGGCCGAGTATAAGCACGACGCTTCAGCGCCATCCATTTTCAGGGCTAGTAACTTCGGCAGGTGAGTTGTTACACACTCCTTGGCGGATTCCGACTTCCATGGCCACCGTCCTGCTGTCTTAAGTTACCAACGCCTTTCATGGTATCCCATAAGCGTCGATTTAGGCGCTTTAACTCGACGTTTGGTTCATCCCACAGCGCCAGTTCTGCTTACCAAAAATGGCCCACTTGGCACTCTGATTCGATTCTCGCAGCTTCATTAGTTCGAGCAAGCCGGAGATCTCACCCATTTAAAGTTTGAGAATAGGTTGAGGTCGTTTCGACCCCAATGCCTCTAATCTTTCGCTTTTACCGGATGAAACTCGTCACAGACGAGCGCCAGCTATCCTGAGGGAAACTTCGGAGGGAACCAGCTACTAGATGGTTCGATTAGTCTTTCGCCCATACCCAGTTCCGACGATCGATTTGCACGTCAGAATCGCTACGGACCTCCATCAGGGTTTCCCCTGACTTCGTCCCTGACCAGGCATAGTTCACCATCTTTCGGGTCCCAGCGTGTACGCTCTTGGTGCGCCTCTTCTCGTAATGAGAACGAGACGCCCCGGAGGTGCGGAGCGGCCGCTTTATAGACGTGCCGCCCCATCTTCCCTAAATCCGCGCTAGGCGGATCTTTACTTTCATTGCGCCTTTAGGTTTAGTTATGTCCCAATGACTCGCGCACATGCTAGACTCCTTGGTCCGTGTTTCAAGACGGGTCCTGAAATTACCCAAAGCTTATAGCGTCGCAGATCGGCGTTTTCAAACGAGGTCTGTCCGAGAAATCCGCCCGACCAACCAGCTCGGCCGGGGACGGGAACCGGGCGCTAGGTCCGATCGCCCCGTCTTAGCATCGAACGTGCTTGTCGTGGGTCGACGCTAATTGAAGAAGTAGCGGCCTCGCGCCATCTGTATACCGTCGAGCGATCGGCCGGAACATCGCGGGTTCGAGCACGAATCGCCGAAAACGATCGTACACAGGACTCCACGCGAGCCGTAGACGACACCCAACGGATCGCGACGTCCCTACTAGGGGAAAATTGCACGCGTTCGACGCCGGATCGAAAAGCGAAAGGCGCGGACGACGCGCGAACGCCGTCCGTCGCGCGACCGCTCATCGCCGACGCCGAAACGCGAATGAATTTCCCCTTTCGACCTTTCGGGTTTCTCAGGTTTACCCCTGAACGGTTTCACGTACTCTTGAACTCTCTCTTCAAAGTGCTTTTCAACTTTCCCTCACGGTACTTGTTCGCTATCGGTTCTCGTGGTCATATTTAGCCTTAGATGGAGTTTACACCCCCCTTAGGGCTGCACTCTCAAGCAACCCGACTCTGAGGAGAGATCCTCCCGCGATCGCAGCGGCCACTACGGGCCTGGCACCCTCTATGGGCTTGTGGCCCCGTTTCAAGAAGGACTTGGACTCGCCGCGCGACCTCGGGATAAACGGATCCTCCCTAACACCACATTTCCCGGCGCCCGATATCGACCGCGGGATTCGGTGCTGGGCTTTTCCTGTTCGCTCGCAGCTACTGAGGGAATCCTAGTTAGTTTCTTTTCCTCCGCTTAGTAATATGCTTAAATTCAGCGGGTAGTCTCACCTGCTCTGAGGTCGGTTAACAATATACAACACAACACCACACACAGATATATATGTCACACGCGATCGCTAATACTAAATCGTATAGCTGCTGCTGCTATACTACTACTAGTCGAAAGCGTTCTCTAGTGTTTAGCGCGTATATGCGATCAGACGTCGTTATCTCGAAAAAATAATTTCTCTCTCGGACACGACGATCGCAGCGCAAAGTTCGAAACGCGTAACGACTACAGCATATATACATATATATATATATAATATATATATGTAGTGCTATTACGATTTTTATCCGTACAGGCGCGCGTGTTCGTTCTATGTGTGAGTTTACGATTCGTTCGTATGACGAACGAATCGTCGCTTTCGCGTTTTGAGATGCCGCGACGACGACAAAGACGACGACGTTTACGATTTACATAAATAAATATATAATAACTAGCGTCGTCGCGTCGTACCGCGCGTCTACATCCAACACGCTCCGACGTTTCATTCTCCTCTCTCATGTCGTCGTCGTCGTCGTCGTCTCTCGGATAAAGAGATAATACGACGACGCGAACAGAGATCGGAGAGGAAACCGAGCAGTCTTTTAAATTGATACGACCCTCAGCCAGGGAGTGGTCCGGGAACAGTATCCGAGGACCGCAATGTGCGTTCGAAATGTCGATGTTCATGTGTCCTGCAGTTCACAAGTTGACGCGCAATTAGCTGCGTTCTTCATCGACCCACGAGCCAAGTGATTCACCGTTCAGGTAATCGTTTTTTAATTAGACGATCTCTATATATATAAATATATATCGATACGTCTTTATTGTTATGATAATGGCTAATTTATTAAAGAAAATATATAAAAAAGAAAGCGCGCATTTCTCACGGAGACTTCGTGTATTTGCGCGGCAAACGCGCAAAAATTATTTTTGCGCGTTTATAACAAACGAGCGTGCCGACGAAGTCTCTCGTGTACGCGCGCATTCTATCCGTATCGCGCTTCTATAGCATACGCGTGTGCAAGGGGTACAAATAACACTACAACAGAGTTGTACATAACATGAATATATATGTATGTATTAAGCGTACAACACGTGTCGTCCTCTTGTACCGTCTTTTCGTATGGCGTAGAAATTTCGACTAACGGGCGAATATCT